AATCGGTTAACGCCTAATTAAAATACGATACGTATTCCCTGGATTAATAGTTTAACTATTATAAATAAGTCGACGATAATCCCTTTTATTAAGGTCCAGAACTCCTAACGTATAACCTTCGTTAAAGTAATACGTATAAGGGATAGATCCCGAGTAAAAGATCGCGCTAAATACGATATCGGTTATAGCTATAAGCCGGTTTCGATCTAACGGGGGCTATTTAATAATATTAACGGTATTACCGCTAGGCGCTGTTTCGCGCCTATATTAGTACTTCTCGTTATATTAGATATTAATTAGTAATATAAGGCTAGCCTATATATAGGTATACCTATTAGCTCGATTCTAATTCCGTTTCCTTAATCCTTTATATCTACGTGGTTTTATTAATATTAATTCCTAGTTCTCTTTAAAACTATCGGTTATTAATAGCTATTAATCTATTAATTCCTATCTATATTATTAATATAAATATCTATATTATATCGTATATTATATCGTCGAATCGCTACGCTTAGGTATCTTAAAATGCCTCTAGCATAATAAGTTATTAGTATTTATATATTTAATTTATATCGATTAATAGGTTTAGAAGGAAAAAGAAGCTATCGTAAGGTCGGTTAAGGCATAATTATTATTAGCCTTTATCCGCCCTTAGTATTAATAAAGGAGTAGCGGATCGTATAGGTTATCGTAATTTATACTAAGGCGCTCGTACGTTTAATCCATATAGTAAATAGATAACTATAAAAGGATTACCTTAATCGCTATAAGCTTTATTTATTCGCACGAGATATATTATATTATTAACGGTTCGAGTATAATGGGCTGTACCTATGGTAGGGCCCTGGCTAGTGCTAGGGCTTAGTACGTAACTAGTACCTACGGAGGATAAGGCCAGCTATTATAAGTACGGCCTATACGGCGTACCTTTTCTTCCTTTTTCTCCTCGTCTAGCTTTAGTTTATTAATATACGGCTTTTACTTAACGAATAGCTCTTAAAACCGTAACAAAAAGCTAAACTAACCTTCTTTTATCGTTTTATAGAAGTAATAGTATCTTAGCGAGCGGAATTAGCAATAGGAACGGCGATATAGTACTAAAGGAAGCGGTAGCTAGTAAAGTTAATAATCGGAAAGGCGGTATTAGCTTTTAAATATACGCGCCGGCGGCTCTTACGAAGAGGACCGACGAAATTAATATATTTTAATACGCGGGATTAATAGTAGGAAAGGCGATACTAATACCTAAGGAAGAGGTAACCGGTAAAGTTAGTAGTCGGAAAGGCGATATTAACTTTTAGACATACGCGCCGGTAGTACCTACGAAAGAAAACCGATATAAAATAACCCGAAAAGAAAACGACCGATAAGCCCCGAGAAAACGTAATTTAAACGGTAATTTCGAAATAAAAGAACGACGAAATCGACGAAATTTACGGCTAAAAACGGCGGAAAATTTTTTTCCGGAAAAAGATAATAAAGCGTTAAAGTATAGCGCTCGTTAACGAATTAAGAACGCCCGAGGCGTAATATAAAAAAGGAACGGCGTTAAAATAATAAGAAATATATTAAGGTTTCGGCTAGGATAATAATACTTCGATAAAAGCGTTAACGGCGTTAATAATAAACGGAAAGGCGCGTTTTAATACGTCCTTAGGCGGAGCCCTTAGCTCCGCTAACGGAAGATAAACGATAGTCTTTAAACGAATAAGAACGGCGTATCTTAGTACGTCCTCCGGCGAAGCCTCGCGGCTTCGTTAATAAAACGGAAGGATAGGTCCTTAGCCTTTAAACGGAAGGATAAGCCCCTAGCCTTTAAACGATAGAAAAGGCCTAAGCCTTTTAATAATAAACGGAAAAGCGCGCCTTAATACGCTTTTAAGCGGAGCCCTTAGCTCCGCTAGCGGAAGATAAACGAGGGTCTTTAAACGGCGGTAAACGAACCGACGATCCCGTAGCTACGGGAGCTAGGCTAAACCTAATAAGCGCTTATACGCGACTTCGTACGCAGGGCTTTAAAGCTTTACGGTTTAATAAGAGGATCGGAACTAACCCCGGGGAATAGTAATACCCCGGGAAACGAAAATAATAACCCGGAAAATAAATAACGTAACCCGGGAGATAAAAACGGCGGCCTTAAGGAAATAATATACCGGGGGGTTAAATAATACCCGGAACGCCGGTAATACCCTAGGAGAAAGAGGAAGGGCTCTCGGGAAGGAGTAGCTACCGGGAAGGCGTACCCGGTAAGTAAAGAAACCCGGGAGACCTACGAAGAAAAAGAAGGGAGGAGAAAAAGGAGGAGATCCCGGGGAAGAATAAGACCCGGGGGAAGAGCGCCGGGGGGCTAGAGGCGCCCGGTATAGTACCCCGGGAAACGAAAGGCCCCGGGAAGGAAACGGCGGAAGAGGAAACCCCGGGATATAGTATAACCGCCGGGAAGGAAAGAAAGGAGGCTATACCCGGAAAATATTAATACCCCGGGAAACGTACGAACGGAAGAAGGCCTAGGGATATATTAATACCTTAAGCGGCGGAAGTAATAACCCGGGGAGTAAATAGCGTATCCCAGGGAACGAAGGTAGTACCTAAGGATACGGTACGTATCCTAAGGCGCGGAGAAAACGGGTTAGGTTATTAGGGCTAAACGCCGAAGAAAAAGGGCGGTAGGGCGTACTTTTTTTTTTTCCGGGAAGGGACCTTATATAATAAGCTATACCTATAATAGGGCCCTAGCTAGTACTAAGGCTTAGTACGTAACTAATACCTACGGAAGATAAGGCTAGCTATTATAGGTACGGCTTATACGGCGTACTTTTTTTTCCTTTTTCTCCTCGTTTAGCTTTAGTTTATTAATATACGGCTTTTACCTAGCGAATAGCTCTTAAAACCGTAATACTACTCGGGATATATTTCTAGAGCCGTTACCGGATCTTTAATTAGTATCGTTACTATACGATTATTATCCTTATAAATATTGCTAAGGTTATTATTATTAGTTATTAAAGGCTTAAGGTAGAGCTATAAGTTAGGCTCTAGGAATCCATTAAGACTATTATATTAGGTCTTAATTCGGATATGGATAAAGAGGGTATAGAGGATAAGCCGTAGGAACCGGGTAAGGTATGGTTTACTATATTCGTACGTAGGGAGGCGGAGCTACTAAGGGCTAAGGTAGCGTCGTAGTAGTAACCTTAGGAGTTAATACCTAGTTAAAATACTCGTTAGCGATAGCTTACTTAACTAGTAAGCCTGTCTTTTCTATAATAAAGCGTTCGATTAAGTTCTTTCGTTTCTTTAGTTATTATTCTTTAAGCTATTCTTTCTTAAGGTTTACGACCTTTTAATAACCTTATATTATATTATATACCTCCTAAAGGGCTCTAGATACGTAAGCGGCCTTTTCGAGGGCTTCCCTTTTTAGATCCGGATCCCTTAAACCGTTTATAAAGCGTATAATTACCGATTTAAGTATATAGGTTTCGAGGATGGTTAAGTTATCGGTACCGTTTAAGCGTAGAACTTAGGGGAAATCTCTCGATTCCGTACGTTTTAATAGCTTCTATACCTTAATATAATAAGAGGCGAGGGATTCTTCCGAGCCTTATAAGATATCGACGATTTCGTTTCGTAAGTCCGATTAATTAGTTATTTTAAACGGGAATCTCTTTCTTAAGAGCTATTAAACCATAAGTAAATCGTTCTAAGTAGTTATTCCTTATTCCGCGAGGTCTAGAGCTCGCCGGATACGAGAATTACGATCTAGAAAGGCTACTACCTTTCCTTTATATAAAGTATTTATAGCTTAAAGCTTATTAGAAGCTAGTAGAACTAGGTAGCTAGCTAACCTAAAGGCCTACGTAAGTAATATAAGCTATCTAGATATAGCTTTACTACTGTTAAAACGGCCGTATACCGTTAAATCGGGAGGGGCTTGCGGAAGGATCGGTAGGGGAGGCTCCTAGGGGTCGGTTATTACGGATAATAACGAAGCTACGGAAAGTAACGAAGAAGGCGACGAACTCGATAAGCGAAGGAGTAGTAGTACGTTCTCCTTTAAAGGAAACGAAGATAACGATACTAATAATAATAACTAAGCCGAAGAGGGCTATTTTAACTATATTAGATTTATTACTAGACTTAATTAGTTTTAATTTAAAGGTCTTAATGCTTCCGTTTCCGTCGTCGATTAAGATTAAGGGAATATTCCGCGGGAAACCTCGCCTAGGTTCTTAAGGTCCTATAAAAGGTCGTTTAGTTCGGGACTTCCGGAATTTAATAAAAACCTAATTACTTTCGTTAGGTAGGGGTACCTTATAGTAAGGAAAGAGTCGGCTAAAGCTTTAAGGAGCTTTAGGTTTCGGTTATAAATAGTAGCGATATATAGCTCGTCGGGTATAAGAGAAAAGGAACTGCCTTCTCCTTCCTTCGGTATATTACGCCGGTAAATAGTATCGGTAACGAAGGGACTAGGCCCTGAAATGAAGCCCGAAAAACGAACTAGGAATATTCCTTTTTAATGAAGAACGACGAACTAAAGTATTGCCTCTTAGGAAATAATAACGAAACGGGAGTGCTCTTATAAGAGCGAAATAAGCCTTTTAAGACCTTCTATACGAAGAGGTTAAAACGGGATAGAAATAACGAGAAAATAACTAAGCGTACCCGTAGTTTAGGTACCTCTTTACTACCTAGGTTCGATTACTAGCTAGATAGAGTATAAAACGTACTTAATTCCTAAAACCCCCTATCTAGAGCATCCTTATTAAAAAACATACTTTAACTCTTAAGGGCTGCTTATATAATACGTATTACCTAATAAGGAGGGCTCCTACTTAGCTTAGCGAGTCTTCCACCGTACAAAAGGAGACGTTGGCAGCTGATCACGTCTGTGCAAGAATGGCAGCAGAAAAGACCTGGTTGACCGCCTTCCTTGATTAGCGGGCGGTCAACACAGGCAGATAATGGTTCTGGTGGCAGAATTCATTCTGAACGGCAAAAAAAAAAACCTCTCTTGTCGCATGCTGTCACAAACCACCACCGTACAACGTACAACCGCCCCGTGGTCTTGTAGAGCGAATTGGATAGTTAGATAGCCCAGGCATTCGCTTCATCCAGCAACTTCCTGAAGTTCAATCGGCCCATACCAGCATTTATCTGGTTAAGAAACAATCCGCGACCCTATCGTGACACCATCCTTAAGATGGGCAGCAAGCGGAAGCGTGGCGCCAGCAAGACCGGCGCGAACGGCGGCGAGCCGGCGCCGAAGCATGCGAAGACGAGCCACACGACGTCAACCGAAGTCCTTCCAACGCCCGATCTCGACCTCGAAAAAACTCCTTTCACAGAGACCCTCGCTAGCGAGAGCCGAAAGCGGGAAGCCAAGATATACCAGCTGCTCGGAAGTGCTGATAGCGATGAGCGAATTGCCGCAGCCGATGCCCTTGTCACCGGCCTGCTGGTTTCGCCCGAAGCCGCCCTTGTGAGGCATCTCGACAGTCGTCTATTCCGCGGCCTAGCGAGCTCGCGGAATGCGTCTCGCCTGGGCTTCAGCCTAGTGCTGACCGAGATCCTGGCCCAACTATTCGGGGAAAAGAATCTTTCTGGCTCCAAGTACCCTGGCATAACGTTCGACAAGGCCCTCAACATCCTTGTGGAGAGGACGACCGCCGATAACCACGTGCCGGGACAGGAAGAGAGGGATTGCTACTTTGGCCGGCTATTCGGGTTGCAATGCTTTGTAGAATCCAGGATCCTTTTTACTGAGGAATCGCGATGGCCGCAAGTCCTGGACTTGCTGTTGAAAATGGCCGAGAAGAAGGCTTGGATGCGATCCCACTGTGGATGGATCATCGTCGAGTCGCTTCCCCAGATGGGCCAAGGTAGAGCAGAGGAAACACTCAGAAAGCTGTCTAGTGTCGGACTCGGAAAGACGGCGGAGGGTGTCGGAATCTGGACCAGGGCCTTGAGTTGTTACCCGAACCTGAAGACACCCGAAAAACCGTGGCGCGATCCTCTAAGCCCTAGCGTCATACCCGAAGTCGCCCGGGTACTAAAGGAAAACGTGGCACGGGATAGTGGAGAGGATGCCCCCATCATTAAAGCAAGGCAGGGCGGCTGGAATCCCCAACTGCACTTCGTCTGGGACCTCATACTGGCGGTGTTTGGCAACGGAAGCGGGAAGGAGACCAAGGACAAGCTGAGACTTTTCTGGAATACTGCCATCGACGGTGAGCATGCTCTCTGCCTGCAAAGGGGACTTATATATACTAACTTGACTTTTAGATGGCCTCTTCTCCAAGACCGCTTCCGACGCGCAAAAGTTTCGCGGTTTCTTGATACTCCAAAAGTTCCTGCAAGGATTCGCAGCAGACAAGACGAGACTGGTCAAGGAGCTCTTTTCTCGAAATTTGATGAAGTGTCTCATAAACCAAGCGGCTAAGGAAGATCGGTACCTCCATCGTGCCGCGCTGAAGAGCCTTCAGTCGATAGAGAAGACTGTACAAGCCGCCCCGCAGTTATTAATGCCGATTCTAGAGGAGCTACTCGGGAAGCATGGGGCATACGACTTCGATCAACGGACGAGTACCAAAACCGTCGAGAACTTGCTGCAATGGGTTACTCCTACTGATGCAAAGAGCGTTCTCAAATTTCTCCGGAGTTTCGTCCTCACTGCGAATGGGTAAGCTTTCCATCATTACGAAATACCCGCTATCTCACTAACTCGCTCCCTAGTAGCGATGCCGCCGAGATTGAAAAGTTGAGATCGGTCTATGCCGGGTATGTGTCTAAAATGGCCGTACAGGCGAAGCCGGCAACGGAACCATCCGACAAGGGCGAGATTTCGAACGTCGCGGAGCTGGGTGTTAAAGAATTAGCCGCCTGCGCGTATTCGGAACAGCCGCAGTTCAAACCGAGTCTCTCGGAGAAATCGCGAGAGGTATTTCGTAGGCTGCTAGCTTCTACAATTGGAAAGGTTATGGGGCGAGGAGGCGACGCCGAGTATCTATGTCACGCGGTAGTGTCGGTTGAGCCCACGGCAGTAAACATGAGCGAGGAGATTAAGACGGAGCGAGATAACGCGTTAAAATCCATACGGAAATCGCTTAGGGCGAGCAAAAAGACAAGCGGCAAGGATGATGGAGTGTCACTTGGCCTCGCCCTGCTTTATGCCATCACCGTGTTGCAATTGTATGACGGAACACCCGATGCTGTCAACATTCTGCAAGATCTGCAACGCTGCACCGAGAAGATGGGTAGCAAGGAGGGTGGTACCTCAGAGCTTCTGGTCGAGATACTACTAGCACTGGTGTCTCGGCCGTCGTCTATGATGCGACAGATCAGCGAGCAAGTCTTCGAGGCATTTACTTCACAAGTGTCTTCCGAAGCTCTCGAGCTCCTGACGGAGCCGTTATTCGCCGATGAAAACGAGAAAGGATACCAGGCTCTCTTTGAAAATCTCGAGGATGAGAATGCAGAAATGGTCGGCGATGAAGATTCGGATGCCGACGAGGACGACGGTGCAAACTCGGTTGAAATATCGGAAGTCGGTTCTGATGTTGAATTCGTTTCATTGAATGGCGAGGAAGCGAACCCCGATAGCGGGGGCGAGAGCGAGGATGAAGATGAGGATGAGGATGAAGCTCAAGCAGAGGGAGACGCTCAGGAGCTTGCAGACTTCGATGCAGCCCTTGCCAAGGTCCTAAGGAGTCATCGGCTGAATCAGGACAACGATGCCGAATCGTCATCTGGCGATTCCGATATGACCGACTCGGAAATGATGGCTTTGAATGACAAGCTGGTCGAGGTGTTCAAGCAGAAGTTCAAGAAGACCGGCAGCAAGAAGGATAGGAAGGACGCCAAGGACTCCGTCATCATGTTCAAGCACCGCGTCGTCGACCTCCTCGCGCTGTATATCAAGCACGAGGCGACCAACCCCCTGGCGTTTGGCCTGCTTCCGCCACTGCTCGAGGTGGTGCGCACGACGACGGCCAAGCCGCTCGCGAACAAGGCCGCCCTGACCATCGAGAATTTCTCCAAGACGTTCAAGAAGAAGGCGCAACGGGCAACGGCCCAGGGCAACGGCGGCGACGGCGAAAACGAGGGCGAGATGGAGAACCGCACTAGCATCGACGCCGAAGCGCGGCTAGCGCTCATGCGGGAGATACACCGCCAGGCCGCGCGGGACATGTCGCACGCGTTCGGGCGGGCGGCATCAGCGGCCAGCCTGCTCGTCGCGTCAAGCCTGCTCGCCGACGGCAGGGGGGACGACAAGATAGACGGCGTCAACGCGGTGTACGCGCAGACCTTCGCGGACTGCCAGAAGGGGAAGACGAAGCTCCAGGGCTTCTTCTTCTCCGACTGGATCAACTGGGGCATGGGGCACGCGGCGAACGCGAAGTCCCTGCCCCAACCGCAGCAGGCAGGAGACCAGGCATAGGGACGGAGAGATGTTTTGTTTGATCATGTACATCTTCCCTAGTGTGTATGTAGAGAGCCTACGGAACCTTCCCCTCCCTGTCTCTAATTCCACAACCGTCACCAGCTCCTAAACAACTATCTATAGATGATTCCCTGTGACATCAACGAGGAGGCGCGGTGTGTAAGCACAGGACTTACCTCCCGCGCAACCTACGTAGGCTCTTCTAACGAGCGATCCTACTCTATTATAAGCTATCCGATATTTGGTCCTCGCCCAACTCCCGCTCAGCACCGTCCGCTGCGGAAGCTTTGATGCTGGTTCGCAGGTGGCTTCGTTGCACGAGGACGTTACATACGTGGCGGGCGGTCTCTGGGGACGCCACCACCCCCCCTCCTACCGAAATGAACAAACCAGGTTCCGGGCCCAGACGGGTAGGGCAGATTGTCACCCCCTCCACATGCCGCGATGGCTCACGGGTAAGCCGGCATCAACCCCGTCACTCGTGGTCAGCGGCGCACCAAGCGAGTGCCTGTAGGGCAGCCGTCCGGACCGCAAGGGATGCCTGAGCACGCCTGGTGCCTCGGTCCTTCCCCCCCCTGCCCCCTCGGATAAGACGGCCTCGTCGCACAGGGGGACAGCGTGGGGGCGCTGCTTGGGTGTTGTTATGTTTTATTGTGTTTCTTTTACTTTCTGGTTGATCCTTGTCGATCCGCCGCGGGTGCGGGAGACCGGATCCCTATGACAAGGCGTGAGGGGAAGGGGAGCGGAATCCACAGGCGGAAAATATGCGACGGACGTGGGCTCGTGTCTCGCACCGATGGGAGGACCCGAGGGGGGGTGCCTACATGGTTTGTGGCGTGCGAACTTGCTCACCCGAAGAAAGGGACGGAAAAGGGGGGGGGGGGGAGAAGGATAGAGGATACATGAGATGGTTCTCGTCGCGATGCTGTCGGCGCTACTCCCTCCAGCGCCATTGGCTTGACCCTCCTAGGCTGCTATTCGACGGACGGGTTCTCCCTGCACCTACTCAACGAGACGAGCTGTATTATGAGACATGCGCCGCGCTACAGCGCGCGAAGGTCCACAACCCCCCCTTTTCTCCTCGTGAGAGGGTGTTTGGTGTCTGGTGTATAGTTAGGCGCCTTGCGCTCCCACGTCGCCACACACCGCCTCCGCCATACAAGCAGCCAAACAGACAGAGATGCCTTCGTAGCTAAGGGAAGTGCGTGCAGCCGGTTGGCTAAGTGTATGTTGTACCGATATGATCCGCGACAGCGATCAGGGGAGAGAGATTCTGAGGCTTCTGCACCTCTCCCGGCCCATCGGTATTCTTCCTCTCCCACACTATGCACTCTGACAGAGGATGGGGGGGTATGGTACATGTTTTCATACCTCTGAGGATTCCGCTCGGAATAGAACCTCACAATACCCAGATGACTGGTGCTTAGCAACGATATAAAGGGGAAAGACCATCGCCTCCGTCTTCTCTTGTGAGAGATACTTGTCTCGCTAACCGACAGTCGATATACTTCTACAAGAAGCCCCTAGACCCTCCACTCACTCAAAAATGGCATCTCTCCCCAGCGTCGGGGACCTCGTCCCGCAGCTCGCGGGCCTCTCGCCCATCCCGCCCGGCCACCGGGCCCCAGGTCTTGGCGGCCAGAACTTCACGCATTGCTGCCTGTTAGCAGTGAACGAGTCGCTCGCAGTCGGCAGCGATGGCAACCTCACATACACGGCGACGCCGTTCGTAGCTCCGGGTGTTCCTATCGGCGCGCTGGGCGGCGACGGCGGCCAGTTTCCGTGCGGCGCGTCCTTCGACGGCGACGTGGGGGGCGCGCCGCCGGTGCGGGTGCCGTACGACTGGTGCGCGGCGCGGTGCGGCGGGTGGGAGATGTCTCGGCCGGGGGCGACGCAGCAGTGGGTCGGGCCGCTGGTGCAGTTCATCGTGCCGAGCCTGGCGTTCTGCACCAACGTGCCGCGGACGCGCAAGCTGGCCATCCCGGACGTCGTCTTCCGCGGGCGCCCGCGCTCGCCCGCCGGCTTCGCCTCGTACTGGCTGCGCCTGCTCGGCGCCTTCCTCCTCGTCACCGCCGACACCTTCGTCTGGCTCGCCATCTGCTTCGCCTTCGCCGGCCCCATGCTGCTCAGCGCCGTCTACGAGTACGCCCTCGACCGCCGCGTCCTCGAGTTCCTCGCCGCGCCCCCCGAGACCCGCCCCGCCGCCGTGCCCTCCCGCCTCCGCGCCCACCTACTGCTCGCCGTCGTCGTCGGCAACCTCCGCATGGCGACGCTCGAGACGCACGACGTCGAGAGGGCGGGGCCCCGCACCCGCCGCCACGACAGCGTCGTGTCCGACGACTCCGAGCTCACGACGGCTCCTGTCAATAGCCGCAAGATAGGCGAGGTCGTGCACAACACTATCTGGAAGAGGGTCACAGCGATCGTGGAAGAATACGAGGCGGCGAGGCTGGCGGATCGCGAGGACGAGCCGGTCGTGTCTCTGCCTACTAAGCTGAAGTCGCTGCTTAATTCCCAGGCTAGGTGAGGAAGAGAAGAGAGAACCCGCTTTATAGAAGGACACTACATGATGGGAGCCTGACTATGAGCCTAGCTTCGGGTCGACGATCGGCGGACCAACGCTCTTCTTCATAGGCGGGTTCATATACACGGTATTGGACGTCGAAAACAATCTCGGCGACAACGACACCGCTCACGCCCTTGCGTTCGGCTTGTGTGAGTATTAGTCCGAACTAGATCTTCCGGCTCACGAACCGCCGTATACTTGCTAAAGGCTTTCCCCTACAGGGTGGATGGTGATCCCTTACCTCGCTATTATTGTACGTACACCTGCCCTCCCCTTTCTCGTCTCCACAAGGATCGTTGGGGTGCTATAGTCTGGTTGAGTTGTACAACTCCAGCAGTAAACTCGCAACCGCTGATACTATTGCTTGCCCTAGTCCTGCGCTATGCTTGCGTCCAACGGCACCAGCGCGCTCAACGGCATCGTGTATGACGGCAGCACCGTGACCCGCCCTGACGAGTACGAGCCGAGCTTCTGGGCGCAGCAGATCAAGAAGGCCGAGGCGTACCCGGTTCTCGGCTGGGCCATCAGGCAGGTCGAGGGCTACAGCCCGATCGAGACCGCGTCCGAGGGGCGCTTCCAGACGGTGAAGCTGTGGAAGCGCGGCCTCAACAAGCAAGAATGGGTCCAGGAGGCGATCCGCGACTACGAGCACTCGGCGTCCGAGGGCGCGCCCGGCGACAGGCTATCCCCGAGCGACCTGCGCCGGTCCCTGCAGCTCAACCGCCGCGACGTCCTGTACGTCCTCTTCGGGGCCGCGTTCGCGGTGCTGGTGCCGTGCTGCCTCGCCTTCCTCACCTCCTACAACACGCCGCAGGCCGGGCTCTCCTGCCGCAGCCTGACGTACCTCGTCTACGCCGTGAGCCAGGCGTGCGAGATGGCCCTGTGGGCGTCGGCCGCGAGGCTGCGGGTCCGGCACGGCGCGCGCTGGTCCGAGGCGTGCCCGACCTCCAAGAAGGTCGCTTGGTGGGGGCAGGTGTTCGTCGGCTTCTTCTCCATATTCGCCGCCGCTGGCGGCACCGTTATGCAGCTCCTCGGCGTGTTCCGCAGCTGCACCTGTAAGGTAAGAGAGAGAAAGAGATACAAGGCATCTCGCCGCCGCGCCCGAGACGGAGTGACGCGGGGGACTGTTGGCGGGACGGTTATTGCTAACGCACGCGCGCAGGTGCCCGTTAGATACTGGCCGCGGCTGCATGACCCGAGCGCTTATATCGTTCTGAGCGACAATACCGCCGAAGACATCGCGGCCGCCCAGCACTGGTGGACGGCGACTGGCACGACGGCCGTAATCGTCATCGGGATCGTGTGTGCGCTTGCGTGGTGGCACCAACGGCGTCTACGAAAGGTGTTTCGAGACGAGGCTGATAGATTAGAAACTGATGCGTGGTAAATAAAACTAGCGGTACGACGCCCGGGGCCGTGATCTGCGAAGAAATATGGTCTGTATGTCGATTATGATGATTCGTTAGATCGTGGCTTCGTGAAGGGGGGCTCAATAAGCGACTTCGCATCCTGAAGCCACCGCAGCTCGATATTAATGATGCTAAATAACAATTTGACCACCCCTCTGTTCAGGCTACAGCATGGGATGATGAATATTCCGGCGTGTAGCGATGTAAATGATGAAATAGCGGCGATTCATCTCGATAGATGCGCGGCCATACGTCCACTCAACCTCCCCTTCACGGCATGAAGCCGAATAAAAAGCCCATCCGTCAACCTGGAAAGCAACGTAGGTGGAATCTATGTGTAAGACTTCTGTCTAAAGCTCGTGAAAGCAGATAAAAATAGAAGGGGGTATCAAGTACTTTTCCGAGCCGCCCAACGCCGATTCCAACAAAGGGCATCAAAAGTTACGTCGATGTGAAGTCCCAGGGTTTGAAGGCTTCTTTGAACCTCTCGACATCCTGGGTCTCCTCCGCGATAGACTCGACAACGTCCCGCCAGTGCAGTCGGTCTTCGAGTCCGAGAAGCTTTGCGACCACTCGACGACCGAACTGAAGATCGAAACGTATGCTGCCATCAAAGCGCATGATGAGCTCCTTGCTCTGGATGCCGGTGTCGCTATCATCAGACCATATCCAGAGCCGGAAGAAGTCGGACCCTTCGTCGACCGCAGACTCGAGAGCGCCCTCTACAAAAGGTGGGAATTGGCGGTTTTCGGCCTCGACTTTGAAGCCAGCCTCGACCAGACCTTTTCGAATAAGCTCCGAGGGGACGGGGATGAATTGCCAATGGACGTGAATGCCAGATTGCCGACTGATTTCAAATGTTACGGCGCCCAATTTGTAATCTGATTTCGTCGCAATCATGGCTTGCATGGACTCTTTGAAGCGCCACATCTCCTGATACGTCTTGTTCGCATCTGCGCCCATCGCGCGAAGGGTGGCTTCGTGAGGAAGCGGTATGATAAGCTGGTGGCCGGGAAAAGTGAGCCCGGACGAGGCATACGTGTTAGAACTAGGCAACGGCCCTTTTGCTGTGGTGACGTAGGACTCCTCTCCTATAGAGCAGATCATGTGTGTGTCCACGTCTGTATTGCTCAAGCAGAAGAAGCACTTATCAGGGCCCGGAGGGGGTGACCGATCTCTACGGCGACGCATGCGACGACCACTGCCTTGGTGATCGTGGTCGTCGGCGTAGCGACGGAAATGGCCATCGGCAGGAGCAGGCCGCTTCCTCGGGTTTGAGTAGGACAAAAATGGCGACACAGTGCTACCGGTTGGAATAGAGGAGGAGGGTTCCCCAGGTACGATGTTGAATGCATACATGGCCTTGGCTTTCGCCGCATTGCCGAAACGGGCGAGTGAGATGAATCGTGTGACGGGAGTCTCATCAGAATCGGGACTACTCGGCGGATGAAAGAATGGCTCACGCTCGTAGAAAAAGTCGGTAGATGACATTGAGAAGTGATAACGGGGCCTGATGGTGGCACATAATTCAGCGATCTCGTTGGTGCTGAGGATTGAGGCGTGGTCTTCGGATGAGAGGTTTGTACTCGAGTTGGCCCACACTCCAGAGGGCCAGCATGTAGTGAGTAGTACGTCGGTGGCATTCGCGCCACGCAATATCTTGGCGTCTTCGGCCGTGTGTAGAGGAATATGCTGTTCGTTGGATTGGCCGCTGGTGGACTTGTCGAGAGCACCGCCTAGTGTCACAATCCGAACCCCGTCCGATGTTTTCGTTATGCTACGCTTGCCGAGGAAGTGAAGATTCTCGCAGACCTAGATAGGACACGTCAGATTGTGCTCTCGAAACGGCGCTTCACGATGGCCGGAGGAAGCTTGTGTACGTACATCCTCGCCCTTTTCGACCCGCTCAACTACGCGGTCCGGTAACGGAATCGTGCCCACGGTAAAATAGGTCGAGACCGGGACTGCGATGCCGCCGCTAAGCAATCGCGAGACAGTATCGTCATCCTGGTCGGCGTCGAAAAGGTTACCGGTGATGAGAGCAAAAGAAAAGTTCTGCTTCTGCTGGAGAGTGGCGAGCTTCTGAAACGCAAGCTCGAGCTTGCCATTGACGCTCCCTAGCACGATGCTACAAGGTCGAGGAGGTTAGATGCGCGGACAAGACGGCGATGGGTTCAGCCGTATACTTACATCTTGGCAGCCATGATGGAACTCGCGTCGAGGGAATCGATCAAAGGGAGTCCGAACGAGTAATTGAATCAGGAAGCTTCCAAACGAAGCTATGCCGGCGTCGAGTCCCAATTGGCGATCGGCGATGGGGAGGATGAGGGAGATGCGCCAGGCTGGTCGCAGAAGTAAATACTGATAAATAGTCCTGGGCAGATGACGGGCTGTTGCAGACAGTTGCTAGGCGAGGCAAAAGCCGTGGTTGGCTGGTGGCGGCGGCAGCTTGAGAGCTATGGGCTTGGTATTGCTGGATAAGCAAATGCGATGTTTATCGATAAGCAAGTGACAACCTGCTAGCCTACGATAAGCCTGTATCTAGGTAGCTTATCGATCGTCATATCTTATCTTCATTCCGGGCACCTCGAAAAGAAAAAAAAAAGTTCAAAGGTCGCGACGAGTAGACCCGGACCCTTTGCATCGTAATTAGCGGGGCGACTCTCCCCCTCTCTCTTCCCTCTCTCTTCCGGCTTCGACTACAACAACCGCAAGAAGCAGCAGGCGGCCTTCCTCGCCGGTAACGAGGAGTCGTCCACCCGCCATCATGCGCTCAACGCAGTCCGGGCGCATCGTCAAGCCCCGGAGGGGGCACGGCAGCACTCCCCACCAGAAGAACCACCGCTGGGAGTCCTTCACCACCAAGATATCCAAGCTGCACTCCCTCGACCCTCTCCGAAAAGTCCGGCGGCACGATCTCGACGCCGAAGACCTCGAATCCACCACCTCCTACTTCCGCAACGGCCTAGAAAAATGGACCGATACCTGTATCGCCAAGGGCTTCACCTCCTTCCGCCGCGAGGTCCGGCCCTTTTGCGACAGCCTGCCTCAGATCCTGCACTTCGAGGACAGGATCATGCAGTTACTGGTGAAATACATATCCGTCCACGAGTCCGAATCGCTAGAGCCCCTCCTCGATCTCGTTACTGCCTTAGCGCATGACCTGGGCGCGCGCTTCGAGAGGCATTACCCGGCTGCTTTGTCGTTGATAATTGGAATTGCTAGCAAGCCTCGGGATGCTGCCGTCATCGAGTGGACATTCGGCTGCCTGGCGTTCCTTTTCAAGTACCTATCCAAGCTGCTGGTCCCGGACATCCGACCAACCTTCGACGCCTTGTCGCCGCTGCTGGGCAAGGCCCGGAATCCTCCTTACATTGCTAGGTTCGCGGCCGAAGCCTTGAGCTTCCTCGTCAAGAAGGCAGCGGCACCTTCTCATCGAGAAAAGACGCTGCCCCTGTTGGTTGAACATATCAGGGCGGATCTCGAGGCTTGCAGAGACGACCGGCAGTTTGGATTGTATCACCATGGGCTGATGACCATGTTTGCGGAGGCTATCAAAGGGCACGGAAATGGCATTCACACCAACGGGCCCACGCTCGTCAAGGCCTTGATTTCGTCGGTACCGAATGATGAATGTATCTCGGCTGACCCAGTAACCTGGTGCGACCTCGTCTGCGGCGTGCTCGTGAGCATTGTTCATCATACGGCCGCCGAAACGTTCGAGTCCATCCCGAAATCTATAGTCGAAAGTGTCGCGGAGGACAAACGCCGTGTCGAGCATCCGTTGCGTAACTGTCTATATATACGGCTTCTGGGCACCGTATCAGGTGTTCGAAAGGGCAGTCGGATACCCGACTGGTCGTTAATCCTCGACTGCCTACTCGAGTCTCTCAATGCCTTGACGAAAGTGCCCGCCAATCTCGAAAATATTGATTCTGCGGCTGTCTGGCGCCATCTCATCACCAATATAGCTATCGTATGGCAGCAAGCCTCGATGGAATGTATAATTCCGCGTATCGCTGATTTTACCAACATCATGACACGAGAGCCCCTGATGAGATGGTTTATACCGTTTTGCTCCTACTTTTCCGACTTGGATTCCGTCAGATTCCGCAGTGTCCTACTAAAGCCGTTCCAAAAGTAAGGCATCCCCAGTCTGCTACCACACGCCAATATTAACGTGGACCCTAGATTTGTGACGATGCATTGGTCTGAAGGATCCAACGAAGATATGCTCTGCGTTTTCCTACCCCGTATGGTGGAATCGCACGCCCTGCCCTCGGTTACCGACTCTGACAACTTTTCGTTGCCCCAGTCATGGCAAGATCAAATCGTCACCAAATTTGAACGTTTAGAGGTTTCCCCCTTTCCCGAGCAAGGGACTTCTGCCGGATACGACAAAGACCCGAAGACGTGGCGTGACAAATGCCTACCCAAATATTCGGCCCTTCTCCGTGTTTTGGAATCAACTACTGTCCGGCCGTCGACAAACGGGCCCATCGCTGAATTGTTGTTGAGGAAGCTGAAGCTCGCGCTGAAGCCCTCTCTGTCCCTGGCCAGCGAAGAAGCACATTTCATTATCAGCCAGGGGTTTTCCGCCTACCTCCGGATGAGTAAGATCACGGGGAAGATCGATAGTTCTCTTGAGCCGTTGTTGAAGGCAGCTACTCCTCGGTACCGCCGCCTTGTCGGATTCTTAGAAGCGATGATCGCCTACGAAGACCAGCTCAATGCTAATAGGAGTCCTCAATCGCACAGCGAGAAGAGCGCTAACAGCGAGGCGGAAGAAGATCCGTTCATGAAGAGCCTCATCGATAACCTATCCAGCCCTTCGCGCCAGCACCGATTGGCGTCCTTGCAGTTGCTCAGCCGACTTGATACGGCGCCCGACCAGCTAGACTCGCTAGCAACTATGTTACGGATTGAGGAAACGCCGCTGGACTTACAAAATGTTCGGCTCGTTTCCGTCTACCTTCGAAAACTGGCGGCAAACTACTCCCAACTTACTCAAGATTCGTGGCTGCGGCAAGCCATTCCGACCTTCCTCTTTGGGCAGTTGACGGTACGGTTGACACCGATATGTGATTCCGCAGTAGAAGCATTGCAGCAGATATGCGAGGTAAAATCGGGCGAAGACGTCGTATGTGAGATCGCCTTTAACTGGGTCGATGTCTCACCCAAACGGGGAGACGGTCCGCAGAAAGTATCGCTAGCCTCGCCAAACGCCGGCGTCACCGACTTTGAATGCCGGTATCTAGCGAGCCTGTATAGGCGAGCCGAAGAAGCAGAGCACGTGGTTTACTGTTCATCCGAGATTATGCTAGAGAATTTCGAAGGCAATCAGGGCCTTGTGCCCCAAGCGCCTGCTAATGCGAGGTCTCAGGCGCTCAAGGTCTTCTCAGCCGCTCCTAGCATCGCCGAGAAGCGGTCCCGCCAATTGGTCCCCTACCTGCTGTCGTGGACTAGGGATGCTGATGAACAAGATGAAGACGCGACGGGACCATCCGACCCAGTTGAAGGTGTACCATGGTCTCTATTTGACAGAGGGGCGCTTATCGGCGTATTTTCCAAATTTACCAACCCTAAGGTACTATATCAGAACCAGCAGGTATATAGTTCGCTTTTAGGGTTGCTTGCCAAGGGCGACATAGAGATCCAAAAGTCCGCTCTTAAGGCCATTCTCGCTTGGAAGCAAGAGGGGATCAAGCCTTACCAAGAAAATCTAGAATACCTCCTTGACGAAGCTAGGTTCAAAAATGAGCTCACGGTACTATTCCAAGGCGACCACCAGATTCAACTAGAGCATCGCGCGGAAGTGATGCCCGTCCTTCTTAGACTGCTCTACGGAAGAACAATTTCCAAAAAAGGCATCGCCAGTGGGCGGCACGGCCTCCACGCCACCCGGCTTGCTGTTCTGAGACAGTTAAGCGTGGAGGATATGGGAGAATTCCTCGATATTGCCCTAGGCGATCTTCGTGGCGTGATTGTCGTGGAGGACACTCAATTGCGCGAAGATGTTTTCGACCACGGAATTTTAACTACGCGGAAGCAACTCGGCTTTTCCAACATGATGGAGGCTATGATTAACGAGCTCGGCACTGGTGTTCTATCTTTTGCCGACAAAATACTGCACGCAGTACTGTACTGTCTCATATTTTCTTCTCGGAGGATTAACCAGGCCGATACGGATATGGAGGACGACTTACCAACGCAGAACTCCCTGCTTAGAGCTGTCAGGGGCACATCGTTGAAGTGCGTGATTTCGCTCCTCCGGAATGCCCCTAGCTTCGACTGGAACCCTTATAGAGAGGTCTTCATCAAGGAGATTGTGAGCCCGCGTCTTGAGAAGCTCCCCGTCGAAACGACCCAAGGCATTTCCGGCACCCTCCAGTTCCTCGCAACGCTATCTCAGATTCCGAGGACTGCGTTATTCCTCTCCGTGGATAAACGCATCCTTGGCCAGTTGATGGAATGCTTGAAATTGGAGAAGACTAAGGACGAGGTCAAGATATTCTCTCTGAGTATTGTCCGGAGCCTGGTAGAGCTTTCCCGGCAACCAGCCGAGCAGTCCGAGTTCAACGAGCTGATTCAGGAAGAGCTCCTGGACCCTAATATTAATATCATATTAGAAAGTATCGGCGCCGTCCTGAAATTCCGCGGGGAAATTGGCAGGGATCTCCTCATGGCATGTGTTGAGTCTGTAGTAGAGCTATCCTCTCTCGTTCAAAAATCGGCCCATGTCACGGAACTCATTGACGTTTCTATTTCCCTTCTTAATCAACCGTCGCGGCGCGTGAACCCCAGAGCCAAGGGGCTTCTTCTATCCATGCTCGGGACATTCATTCGACTCGCGGGCTCCGATCTTCATTCCCAGTTGAGAGATAGGATTTACTCTACGACAGCGTCGCTTTTCGGCTTTTTCAAAGACCGGACGAACCGACAAGCATTATCAGATGTCCTTGCTGCGTTGTACCAAGACGATCCGCAGCATCACGAATTGTCTGCGCTATGTGCTGATCTCAACTCGTATCATAGCACTCGGGTCGACGAGCCTGACTACGAGAAGCGACTGACAGCCTTCAACGCCATTTCACAGCCGAGGGAGACACCATTTACATCACGAGATTGGGAGCCATTACTTCACAACATGGTGTTTTACATTCGACATGATGAGGAATACGGGATCTTATCTGCTAACTCTGCGGATGGCATGTGCAAATTTATAGAAACAACTGCTAACTCGAAGGGCGAAGAACGGGAAGGTTTTCACAAAATGCTCTCCGATATCTTAATACCGTCTCTTTACTCTAACGTGCGGGAACAATCGGAGACCGTGAGAAGAGAAACTGTGCGAGTCTTCGGTTCTCTAGTTTCTCAAATGCCATCCTTGCCATCGGTAACGGATCTTGTCGTCCTTAATCCCCCTCCAGACGATGACGATCCCGACCCCAGTTTCTTCAACAATATCCTCAGCCCCGCAACAGCCAGACAAATGCGAGCCCTTCAGCTCTTGACTAAGGCAAACCACTACTCGCCATTGAACAGCAAAAATCTCACCCAGTTCTTTGTGCCCCTTCTCGAGCATTTCATTTTCAACCGAGAAGAGGGAAGCAATGACTACGGCGTGGGCGCGCAGGCGGCCTCAACAATCGCAGATATAGCCTCCTCTCTGGAATGGCCCCAATACCGCGCCGTGCTCCGCAGATACATTGGTTACGTCGAGTCAAAACCGGAACTTCAGAAACAGTTGGTCAGGCTTCTCGGCAAGTTTGTGGACGCCCTCGCGGGGGCGGTTTCGGTCACGGGTCATAATACGATGGACGTTGACTCGGCAGGTTCTGGAGAGAAACCGACAAAGTGCAGACTAGCAGCTACAATGCCTGCAGGTGAAAAGTTGAGCGAGGATGTTCTAACCAATATACTACCACCACTCCTAGACCATATCCACGAAAAAGACGAAATAACTGTTAGCTCTCGCGTTCCGGTCGGCATCATCATCGTCAAGATCCTGAAACTGCTCCCGGCGGAGGCGCTCAACCAAAAGCTTCCCGGTGTGCTTACTGATATCTGCCACATCTTGCGAAGCAAGGCCTGGGAATCCCGCGAGATGGCGCGGAGCACCCTCTCGAAAATGACATCGCTTCTGGGGCCAACTTACTTTGGTTTTGTGCTCAACGAGCTGCGCGGCGCGCTTACAAAGGGTTACCAGCTTCATGTCCTATCGTATACGATGCACACAATTTTAGTCAATGTGATCCCCGAATTCGAGTCTGGTGATCTAGACTACTGCCTCGACAAAATTGTCGGTGTCATAATGGACGATATCTTCGGCGTCACGGGCCAAGAAAAGGAGGCGGAGGAATACAACAGCAAAACGAAGGAGGTCAAGAGCAGCAAGAGCCAAGACTCGATGGAACTCATCGCACGAACCGCCTCTATCGGCCATCTTGTCCGTCTTATTCAACCCCTGCAGGCATTGTTACTTGAAAAGCTAGACCTCCGCATGGTGCGGAAGATTGACGACTTATTATCCCGGATAACTTCCGGCCTATTGGGAAACCCAGCGGCTAACAGCCGAGACACCCTAGTGTTCTGCTACGAGGTTATCCAGCAAGTATACGCCAGCGAGAAGCCCAGAGCAGAGCAGAAGTTGGACCCAAAACTGAGACGATATCTCCTTCAGAAAGGCGCCAACAAGAGTGGTGATCGTGGCACGACCAGCAAGCACACGTACAAACTAGTGCGGTTTGCTGTCGACGTTCTGCGGTCAGTTCTGAAGAAGCATGACAGCATTCGAAATGCCGCCAACATCACGGGATTCATCCCGATGCTAGGTGACGCGATCGTCGGTGGCGAGGAAGAAGTCAGAATAGCTACCTTCAAGCTCCTAACGGTCATTGTCAAGGTTCCATTTAAAACTGACGACGGCACAAAACTCTATAAAGTAGCCTCGAAGGAGGCGTGTAAGAGCATTTCCATGTCCACCTCGATAGCGACAGACCTCCCCCAGAGCGCCCTTAAGCTTATGTCTGTCATTATACGAGACCGCCGCGATGTCACAGTGAAGGATGCGGCGGTAGATATGCTTCTCAGCAAGGTCAAAGACGACCTGACAGAGCCCCTCTATCGGCACGTCACATTCAATTTCCTGCGGTCTGTTCTGGACCGGAAAATTGGGACAGCCGCAGTTTACGACACCCTGGATTATGTTGGATCGATCATGATTACCAATGATGATAAGAACACTCGAGATCTCGCTCGTGGAGCCTTCTTCCAATTCCTGCGCGATTATCCTCAGAAGAAGAATAGGTGGGCTAAGCAGCTGAGCTTCGTCGTGGCGAACTTGAAGTACGAGAGAGAAGGTGGTCGACTCTCTGTCATGGAGATCGTGCATCTCCTATTGATGAAGTCCTCCGATGACTTCGTCCAGGAAATTGCAACAACCTGTTTCATCCCGCTCATTTTCGTCTTGGTTAACGACGATAGCGAAAAATGTCGGTTGGCGGCTGCGGAGTTGATCAAGGAGATATTTCGGAAAGCGGATAAGGAGCGAACCTCGAATTTCCTCAAGCTGGCGAGGTCCTGGACCGAGCGGGATGACAATGCCCAAGTATTACGTCTCGCCGTCCAAACGTTCGCGCTCTACTTCGAGGCAAGAGAATACAGCTCGAGAGACCGTAAAGATTTGGACCTTGTGCTTGACTTAATGGCCAACATCCTAGGGAGCTACTCGACTTTTGCGAATGACCACGAGCTAATCACTACTGTCCTTCAGGCGGCGCCCATCCTCATAGAGAGGCACCCGGCAACGACGTTGGCGCACGAAAGATTGTGGCAGCTTATACCGACTCCGCTCTCGCACCCAGACCCCACAGTCAAACTGTCAAGCGTTAGGCTGTTGAGAATCTATCTGGCAGATTTCTACGAGAATAAGAAAGGAGGCGGAAGCTCGCGAGATATAGTTGGCTCACATGGTCTTCACTTACAGACGCAAATGGTTGGGCAGCTGATTCTCTACGCCGTGGGCGTTCTAAGTCCTGTGGCGGTGCGAAGGTGGAAAAGAAGAATGCAAAGGAGAGGCAAAGCCGTGCCATTTGATATTGGCTATGATGATGCGTTCTCAACGAAAAGCCCGGGGGAGATAGACGAGACCCTCGCAGCAGAGGTTGGCAGGGTAATCTTAATGCTCACTAAATTTCTAGATGTTGGTGTGGCAGACACCGGCTCGCCTAAGAGAGATGGAGATGGGAAGCCCGATGTCAACAGTGAAGGCTCGGGCGACGAAGAGGAAGAATGGGGCGGCGTTGACGCCGAGGAAGATACCACTCGTGGGGACATTACCCTCCACACACTGTTTATCTGGCTTTCGGACATCCTCATCGAGGAGACGCGCCCGACAGCCGGTGCGCTCGTGCCCAAGGTGGCAGCGCTCGAGATCCTCAGTGTGCTCGCATCGTCGTTGCCGACGGCAGCGCTCGAGCCGTTGCTCAACATGGCACTAACGCCGCTGCACCACCTAACCGACCCCTCGATCCCGACCACCGCGGCGACCGGCCCTACCTCCTTAGCCGCAGCCGCCGACGCCGACGCAGTGGCCTTCCAGGCACGACGCGAGGACCTGCGAGCGCGGGCCGCCGAGGCCATGGACGGCCTGCAGCGCCGCCTCGGTGCCGCGGCGTACACGCGTGAGCTGCTGGCGGTGCGCGAGGGCGCGCGCCAGCGTCGCGAGGCGCGCTCCCGCAAGCGCAAGATCGACGCCGTCGCGAATCCCGAGCGTTACGGTGCCTGGAAGCAGAGCCGCCTCGAGAAGAAGGTCCGCAGGCGCAAGGAGAAGGGCCTCCGGAACCGGGATCGGCGGCGGGAGTGGTGAGGAGGAGACGGTAGAGGTTGGGGGTGGGGGGATTTCTCTTGTCTCCTGATATCTGCGTAAAACTACATAGCATTTTGGCGAAGCCGTACTCTAGGTGCGCGACGAGCCCGGCACGGAAAGTGGGAAGAATACTATAGGTAATCTGAATCATGCTTAGATTCCTGTGTAAGGACGAAGCAGTTACATGTTGTACAGATAATGAACGGGCGAAGAGGTTATACGTATTTCTCGTCGATCCTCTCTTCTCTCCTTTCCTTTTTCTTCTCTTGTCCTAGCATTCCGTGTAGGACCTTGTTTAGGGGAAGGAGGAGAGTGGGCGCGATGGGTGCCTGTCTCTCTCGGGGTTTGGCTCGCCCGCCGGGTCCGCAAGCGAGCACGACGTTGCTTCTTCTTCTTCTACTACTTCTACTACGCGGCGAAAATCGACCATCTCTTCGGGCACTCCTAGCCACGGAGGAAAGCTGCGAATGGCACCGGTGATCTCCCTTCGGCCATCCAACCCACCCGCCGTTGCCTCTTGTCTTCCCGGGTGGTGTCGGGTCTGCGTCCGGTCCCGCCGGGCTACCATCGTTTCTTGGGGAGTTGCTGGTCGCCGCTATTCTCGATCATGTTGCGGAAGCTCTTGGAGAGGCTCTTGTCGCCCCACAGGTCATTCGTAGCCCTTTCGAATTTCCGGAGGAAGTCGTCCGTAAGCGAGTCCGCTGCGGCATCCTCCTTCTTCACTATGTCCGAGGGGGCGGTCTTCGATCCCGACCTGGGGATTCCTAGGGTCGATTCGCCCACTGCAGACGGCAAGATGCCGCCCACCGGCCGACGAATCTTCTTGAACAACAAGTTCGGGTCCGGGCGGATATAACGCGGCTGATCGTCTTTCGAGGCTACGTTGACGAATTGTATGCGCACAACCTTCTGCTTATCCACGGGTAGGCGTCGCACTACCGGCGGGTCCTTGTGGAAGTCGTTGTCTATCTCGTACTTCAGCTTCGGGGTCTTGGGTGGAAGCCCTTCCGAGGCGACGTGATAACGAACGCCAGTGTACAGTCCGTCATAGGCTTGAGCGGGGTAGGTTTGGGGCTGGTCATCTCTGGTCTTATTTACAGGTATAAACTTGATGATGCCGCTCTTTGACGTCCCCGGACTGAGGGAAGGCCGAATCTCGTTATCTTGCAGCAATTTGTCAGGCACTATCTCGTTGTTGAAAGGGCCGTCACCTTCCGGTGTCTGCTCGGTACGATCAGGGCGGTCCTCCCATCTTCCTACCGGATTCCCACGGTCCCCGAAACTTGGGACGCGAATAATTCGGGGCCTTGGCCCTAGCGGGAACGACATTTCCTCCCTGGGAATTCGGGTCAAGGGGCCTTTAAAAGGTATCATCCTAGCTTCTTCTTGACCAGGCACGTCCCAGCCTTCGTGAGGGATTTTGGTTATGGGCCAGGTCTTCATCTCCTTCGGGCGTTCGAGAAACCGGCGGCGCAACGAGAGGATGTCTGAGAGAAGGGTATCGCGTAGGAAGAATGGGCCTTTTCCCTTTGGCTTTGGTCCCCTTCCCACCCACAGTTTGCCGGAGCGATCAACCCCTTCTCGTCCTGAAGCACGACCACGCGGTACGGCGTCATTGCTCAGGGGCTCGGGCTCCTTGGCGGCAGCCGGGGACGACGAAGAGTATTGGCGTCGCATAGACGGCAGGCCATTCTTCGGCGATGGACGAGCGTCTGTATTTCCCAACGGTGCTGCTCTCGGGGAGGTCGTTGAGCTCGTTGGCGGGAATGATGAATGCCCTGCATCCCGAGACTCCAATGCCTCCTCGCCTTGTTCTGGTTTGTCTGGCAGAGCGGCTGGCTCATCGGACACGCTGGGGCCGCCGGAACCAGCATTCTTCGCCGCAGCGCCTCGTTCGGTCACGGTGCCGTCTTCCCAAAACTCCACGTCGCCATCCTCGCCTAGCGTCCCCCGTTTCACTAGTTGCCCTTTTTCTCGCATGAGGTCCTCGACGGTGAGTTTACGGTCGCCAAAGATGTTCAAATGGTCGCTGATAACATGGCGATTCCGGCATGTGGGACAGGTTATGAGTACGGACCCTTTGTGGTAGCCCTGCTTCGAGACGACGTGGGAGGAGCGGCCGCCGCAGGGCACGCAGGTAAAGGTAAGCTCATAGTGAGGCTCGAGGAGCTTCCGGGGCTTGGCGGCGGACGCAGGCGACGACGGCGCGACGGGAGCAGGGGGGGGAGGCCGAGGGATAGTGTGGACGAAGCGCTGAGCGGTTGGACGCGGGGAGCGAGGGAGGCGGAGAAGGCGAGGACGGGGACGGCGGAGAGGAGCGGACAGGATTGCCGTTCGCGACGCAGGGAGGGTGGGCTTGGGGAGCAGGCGAGAAACCGAGCTCAAGGCCATGTTCCGCCAAGAGGGAAATACATAAGAAACGAAATAGGGAAGTGAATAGGGACCTGTGCTGAGGCCAATTGCGGCATGTACCTGCGAGAGGAGAAGAGAGGAGGACCGAGTGGTGGTGGGGGTGACGGCGAGGTCTGCGGCAATGCAGACTCGCGAGAGAAGATCTCCGTCGACGCAAATTGTTAGGAGAACATTTTCATTTTTTTTTTCCGATAGGCTAGCTAGTGGTTACCTGGTAACAAGGTCACAGGCGGCAGGTCACAAAACCACGCTGCAGGTTTAGCCCCTCCTGATAAGACGCCCACGATAAGATAGGGATAAGATAGAGGGGTGGAGCGCCGGGCGAGGTGAGGGGCAGCGCGTAAGATGCGCAAGTACCAAGTACGCGCGGACCCCCCGTGTTGACTACCATACGGGGGGAGGGGGGTCTGTCGATACCATGTTAGCAATAGTATCGGGGTATTAATATAGTATCCGTATAGATATAAAAGTAAATTAAACTCCGGGGTAATATTATATTAAGTATAACATTAGTACTATATAGTGTAATTATATATAGCTAGTAATGATATTTAGTTTAATATAGTATCGAATTAATATACTATTAGCGTATAATAGTTATTAATATAATACGATTTCCGGCCCTAATTATTATTTCCTACTAATAATATATACTAATCTAGAGTTAATATCTAACTAAATATAATTATTATATCGGTAATTATTACCTCTTAGTAATATATACTACTTTAGAATTAATTATATATTAAATGTAATAACTTAAAGGTAATACTTTTTTATTAGTAATATATACTACCTAGAAATTATTATAACTTTTAGTTACCTTTATTTATTAGTAATAGATATTATTCTAGAATATATTATTAGATAGAAATACTTACTATTATAAGCGACTATATCTAAAAGGAAATTATATCTACTTTAAGATTATTATTTATTTTAGATAGCTATTCTATATAGTAACTCTTTCGAATAAGAATACTCTTATTAATACGTTAGCATTACTATTATTAGTTAGTATATCTATTTTAATATTATTACTATTTATAGGAGTATAACTACTACGAAAGTCTTACGAATACGAGTAATAATAATAATATTAGATATGTATTTAATAAGGATTAAATTTCAGAGCTATAATTATATCTACGTAAACTATATATCTAAATTAAAACACTTATATTTTAAAATATCTCTAGATTACTAAATATTATACCCGATAGTAGGCGCTAGATAGCTTGTCTTAATTTCTATATACTTATTTAATAAGTAGTTAACTTATTATTATTAAATACGCTTCGTTTCTCGATATAATAAAGGGGGATTAATATAATAAGGATTAATACGACCGATACGATTAATACGGATTAACGCGAACGATACGGGTTAACGTAAATGCGACTGATGTAATTAATACGAGTAATACGATAAGGGGATTAATAGATAAAGTTAATACGATCGACGTAATTAATAAAGTAATATAATAAAGGGATTAATAAAGCTAATGCGACCGACGTAATTATTAGGTATTATCGGGTACTTAGTAATTAATTAGCCACTATTAAGCTAGGTATATTAGAGACTTATATAGAGGTAATAATAGCTTATAACGCTTAAGCTTTAGTACCTATACGGGACCGAATTCGATACTTAATAGCCCATTAATATTCGTTATAGGTAGGTAAATAATAAGTAATTAAGGAAACCTAAGGTACTTATTTTCGATACGAGGCTACGCTAGGTATACGAAGGTATAATAATTAAGTTATAAGACTAATACGACGTAAGCTTTTTAAATATAAGGATATATAAGGTACGACGTTCGTAATAATATATTATAAATAATAATATACCTACCGAAAATATATCGAACGGAAATACCTTTATTAAAGGTATCTCTAATAACTATTAAAGATATCCATAACTATCGAAGATATCTTTAACGATTATCGAAGATATTAACGACCATCGAAGATATCTTTAATAACTATCGAAGATATCTTTAACGACTATCGAAGATATTAACGACTATCGAAGATATCTTTAATAATTATTAAAGATATCTCTAAATATATCTCTAAATATATCTCTAAATATATCTCTAAATATATCTCTAACGATTATCGAATAAATCTCTAATAACGATCGAATAAATCTCTAATAACTACCGAAGATATCTTTAATAACGATCGAAGATATCTTTAATAACGATCGAAGATATCTTTAACGACTATATCTTTAAATATATCTCCGAATATATTTCTAACGATTATCGAATAAATCTCTAATAATTATCGAAGATATCTTTAACGATTATATCTCTAAATATAAATATATTTCTAACGATTATCGAATAAATCTTTAAATATATCTTTATAAATAAATCTCTCTAACGACTATCGAATAAATCTCTAAACGTATCTCTAACGATTATCGAATAAATATTCTTACGACTATCGAATAAATTTCTATCGAAAATATATCTACGGATAAATAAAAATATACCTAATTCCTAAGAGTATATCGTACCTTCGTATAAATATTCTATATTATTATTCGATTTAATTCCAGGCTTTAAATAATAGTTAAGGCCGGTATAAGATATGCTTACTTATAATTACGAGAAACGATAACGAAAGCGAGAAACGACGAGATTTAAAGAAGCGAGAAGCGACGAGAAACGAAAGACGTAGCGAGAGCGAGAAACGAGAAACGAGAAACGAAATAACGTAAAACGACGAAATTTAAAGAAACGAATATTATTTAGAAACGAATATTATTTAAAGACGAGTATTATCTAGAAACGAATATTATTTAAAGACGAGTATTATTTAAAGATAAGTATTATTTAAAAACGAATATTATCTAAAAACGAGTATTATCTAAAGACGAGTATTAGCGATAGCGTAATAGCGTAATAGCGTAATAACGTAATAACGTAATAGCGTAATAACGTAATAGCGTAATAACGTAATAACGAGATAGCGAGATAGCGAGATAGCGAGAGACGGGAGACGTAACGAAAGACGAAAATTAGCGAGATAACGTAATAGCGAGATACGGAAAACGTAACGAGAGACGCGAGTTAGCGAGAAACGAAAGCTAGAGAAACGGGAGCTAGAGAGATAAGAGTTAGCGAAAAGTAACGAAAGCTAAAAACGGGAGACGTAACGAAAGACGGGAATTAGCGAGAAACGAAAGCTAAAGAAATAAGAGTTAGCGAGAGGCGACGAGAGTTAGAAACGGAAGACGTAGCGAAAGACGAAAGCTAGAAACGGAAGTTAACGAGAGGCGAGTTAGCGAGAGACGGGAGACGTAACGAGAAACGCAAGTTAGCGAGATAGCGTAATAGCGAGATACGGGAAACGTAGCGAGAAACGTAAGTTAGCGAGAAACGAAAGCTAGAGAGACGGGAGTTAGCGAGATAACGTAATAGCGAGATACGGAAAACGTAACGAAAAACGAGAGTTAACGAGAGACGGGAGTTAGCGAGATAGCGTAATAGCGAGATACGGGAGACGTAGCGAAAGACGAGAGTTAACGAGAAACGGGAGTTAGCGAAATAACGTAATAACGAGATACGGGAAACGTAGCGAGAAACGAAAGTTAGCGAAAGGCGACGAAAGCTAGAAACGAGAAACGTAGCGAGAGACGTAGCGAGTTAAAAACGACATCGCTATCTCTTTAATTAAGCCGGAAAAGCTAGGTAATAATAATAAATAAAAGATATTAATTAATAAAAGAGTAATAAATAGGAACGAAAAGAAAACGGTATTTAAAGACCTAAGGACCTACCTACGAGAAGTATAATTTCCTTTTCTTTTATATACTTAACTTAAAGGTAGGTACCTATATATATATAAGCGCCTACCTAAACCTTTAAATACGTAATTACCTTAGTACCTACCTTAAGTATATTCTATTAAGCGAGATAACATTTATTACTAAGCGGTTTCTAGGTAATATTATAAAGTATAATAAGTATTACTAAGGAAATAAGGCTAAAAAGAAGGTATAGATATATTTTATATCGCGTAAAACGTAAACGCTTATATTTATTCCCGCGAGAGCTATTATTTTAATACTTAATATATTATATAGGTTATAAGTAAATAAGGTAATAAACGTAACCGCGTTTATATATAATATCCTACGTACTTTATATAAGTTATAAGTAAATATTAATAAGCGTAACCGCGTTTATATATAATATCCTATATACTTTATTCGGAATTAAATCGCGTAATATACCGGGCCGCTTCTTTCTTAAAATCTTCCTACGGATATCTTTAATATCTAATGCGTATCGGCCGAGGTTAAAATACTTAATAAATAGACTTTAATCCGTACCTATAGTTCTAACGACGGACGAGGCAGGGGAAACTAACGGGGCTACGTTAACTTCTTTTTAACGGGCGTACTTACTTCTTTTCGACGTTAGCGTTTATTAGGTATAGTAGATCCTCGTATCGGTAAGTTACTTAGTCTAAGTTTTAGCGGTATACTCGCCGATGCCTTATTTACGAGGTTTATTATAAGGAGGTTAGGTACGGCATTTATTAGGTATAGTAAATCCTCGTATCGTTAAGTTACTTAACCGAGGTTTTAATAATATATTCGTTAATGCCTCGTCTCTTAAGTTAATAATAAGGAGGTTAGGTACGGTATTTACTAGGTATAGTAAATCCTTATATCGTTAAGTTACTTAACCGAGGTTTTAATATACTTATTAATACCTCGTTTACGAGGTTTATCGTAAAAAGGTTAGGCTTCTTAACTTTATATATTAACCTTATCTTAAATACGTATTATAGATTTAAAGTAAGGCTAATATTAATATATTAAATAGCGGTTTAAAGTAAGTAGAAATTTTATAGGTATTTATATATTTAATAGGTACCTTTAATACCGGCGAACCTACGGATACGTACTAGTCCTAGATGGATTCCCGCGCTACTCCTAGGTTTTCGACGTTAGAGGAACTAGGCGATTTCTTTACGTATAAAGTATTTATAAGCCGAGTCTTTAGTAAAGATCTTAGTAATAGGAAATAGATATTTCCTATCGATTAGTTTCCTTACGGCCCGAA